TGCACACATCAGAAAAAGCAACTCTCTCAGAGATTCATGATTCTAAGATATACATAGAACAGGGATGGAAAGATTGGAAAATATAGCTGTGATAACATTAACACTGAGTTGTAACACCAATACTGTATTTTGTAAAGGCACTACAACACAAAAATGTGTTACAGGCATTCATTACTGTTCATAGAATTTTAATGAGTGCTGGTATCCAACAAATCTTTAACTGTTTCCATCTTTGTTTTCTGTTCACCTTGAAAAGAGCCTATAAGCTTTCAGGTAGGAAACTGTAAGTGTCTCTAATTCTTAACATCATACTGACATTTAGCACATGTAGACTAATCCTGAAAACTCTTTAAAACATTTCAACACATCTCCAAATGCTACACTGTGATGCAGACTATTTCCCATATTATAGGGATAAAAACATATACTTTTTCTCTAAAACTTGCAAATATGGATTTAGGCTCATAATCTATTAAATTTGTCTACAGCAATAAATCTACTTGAAGTCTGCTTAAGTAAAAAGATACTTTTCAAGGTCTCTTCCACCTGCCCAATATTGGAACATCTTTAATGTACCCAAGTTCAGCTTTTTACAGTAAAAAAACCCCAAACAAGTATTTTCTGTACACCCAAGTAGTATGTAAAATCCAGAGGATCTGTATTACCCGTAACAGAAACGTGAGCTTGGAATCCCGGTAACAAACGTGCCTCTGTTTTCCATTACCAATATCAACAAGTGCTGTCATTACTTGGCTCAGGCAACTTAGCGATCGATTTATGTTACCTGCTTCCTAAAAAAGGAAAGAGTAAAGGTGAATTGATTTGGTGGATGGATCAGGGCAATGCATCTGAAAGGAGAAATATACCACAGCTTTTACAGAACTAACCTTTAATCTCATTCCTGCTGTATGGGTGTCTTTCTGTCTCTCAGATCCTGCCAAGTCTACCAGGTTGAGCAGGGAAGACCGAATGTTAACCACCTCATTGTTTTTCTCCATTGATTCCACTGTGATAGTGAAAACCGCATGTGATCTTGAGGATTCTCTATTCATTGAGGTTGATGCTACACGACGGTTTCTCCAGCCCATAGTTAATACCTAAGAACGAAAAAGGTATCTAGTGATAGCAAGTGTCTCAGACTGTCCTCAGTTATTTCCTCACAGTAGTAAGCTATTTCAGTGCAACAGCTTTCAAAAAACTCGAGGACTTCTCTAATTTTTCTCCAATAGAGCTCTTTTAAAAATGAAGAAGCAGAGCTGCACTCAAGTTTAATAAAAACACTAATTATCATATTCACTTCTATCCTCCAGGAATGCTATTGCTGATGGAAAGTATAATGTATCCAATAACGGTGCATGGTTGCGGTACACACTTACAGAATACTATGCATGTGTCTCCTTCATGAATAAATGAACCTGACAATTTATATAACATATATGCTGCCTAAGTAGCAGGAGATGTAGTTTTCTGTTGTTATTTCAGACATGTAGGACAAGTATTAGGGAAAAATTACTATAATTGCAATTCAGATATTCCAAAATCCAGAACTGTATGACTTGCTCTCGTGAAACCCCTCTTGCAGCACTGTGTGCAGTTCTGGTGTCCTCAACATAAGAAGGACATGGAACTGTTGGAGCAAGTCCAGAGGAGGCCATGAGGATGATCAGGGACTGGAGCAACTCCTGTATGGAGACAGGCTGAGAACATTGGGGCTGCCCAGCCTGGAGAAGAGAAACTGCATGGAGACCTCAGAGCAGCTTCCAGTGTCTGAAGGGGGCTACAAGGATGCTGGAGAGCGACTCTTCATCAGTGAATGTAGCAATAGGACAAGGGGTGATGGGTTCAAACTGAAACAGGGGAAGTTCAGCTTAGGTCCAAGGAAGAAGCCTGTGAGGGTGCTGAAGCGCTGGCACAGGGTGCCCAGAGAAGCTGTGGCTGCCTCATCCGTGGCAGTATTCAGGGCCATGTCAGACAGAGCCTTGGGCAACATGGTCTTCAGGTCCTCTCCAACCCAAACCATTCTAATGATTTTATGTGTGGAATAGGCAGGAAGCATTATCTAGAAACAGCTTTTTACACTGTTTTGCAGTGTATGGAAACAGGGGAAGAGAGTGTCAGAAGCACTGTGCAATAAAGTATGTACTTTAATCTGAGGATTATTTACCAAATAAACATTAAAACACTAAAAAGCAACAAAAAATACCTGGTATGCTTCAGCAGCAGATGACAACACCTGTTCAACAGCCCCATCAACAAAGACTCCCTTGTTGATGTGTTCTCTGAGGAGGAGTCCAGCTGAAGCAGAATCTAGCAAGTCAAATATCTGTTCATTGTAGATTTCAATAAATGAGCATTTGCAGAGGAAACTCTTTCCATTGCCAGCCTGAAAAAGAACACCAGTAATTTACACTATAAACAGATGGGTTTTATTAAGTCTGGCATTGCATGGCAGCAAGTCTCTTTTTACACATACCTAAAGCTATTAGTTTGTGTATGCATTCTGCATATGATACATTCTTGATGCCTAGATGACAACCAACACCCCAAAACCTAGATGCATATTTAGACTCAAAATATAAGCACACTTGGGTCTGAAGAAAGTACTATAATTTGGTAGAGTACTAGAAGCAAGCGTTTCTCATCAAGAAATCTAACAAGATGGCAATAATCCTGGAAACTTCACTTACCAAAGAACCATAGCTAATCTTTAATGTAAGATTTTCATTGCAATGAGAAGTACAAGATAAATGTACCTTTTCTTTTTCACGTTCAATTAGAAAAAATAAGTATTCAAAGCTCCGTGGAATGACACCCCTCAGACTGTGAGTGAAATTACCAGATTCAGATGGTCCTAAAGAGATTTGGAATTAAAAACAAGAAAGAATTATTACTACTTGAGAGCAATGACTGACCTTTTCAAGACTTCATTACAGAACATTTCAGCGACCACATTTTCGTCAGTTTATGGCAAAACCACGGAAGAAATGCAATAAAATCAGCTTTCAAGTTCTAAGATAATATTCCATAATCAGATCCATACATAGCCTAAAGGATGCTTGTGAAAGTTCATTTTACCTGTCCTTAGGTTACCCAAGTCTAAAAGAGTATAACCTCCATAGAAAACATGTACAAATGTGCAGGTGTGCCAATGCAGGTACTTTAACCCTGATTTCAAGAACCACAAAGATGGGGTGGATTTGTCCCCATGTTTAGTTAATTCCTATGTAGTCCTCAAATACATGTCAGCTAAACTGGTTTTGGTTATTTCAGTAACTTTCTAACATCAAGCAAAATTATTAATACATTTAAAATCACCACTGTATGAAGAACAAGATTACAAACAGATCCCTCCCTTTACAGAGGGGCCTCACCTTCCTGGTCAGGTTGGAAGCAGTTACTTTGAAAACCTCAATATACTTTAATATGGAAGCCCCTTGCCCAGTATTTTGCTACACATGCAAGGGATATCAGCCAAAAAGGGGAAGCCAATAGTATACTCATTTTTGAGAACATTTATTAGAAGTGTTTAACTGAATAGCTTCTCTCCTGTTAAAAACAGGGCTAAAAAGGTAGATGAGAGTACTTATACTGCACTATTTTGATGTAAAGCAAAAATAAATGCACTGAGCACTACGCTATTTCTTAAACCTGAAAGTTATCTGTAGCAAGACAAAAAACTAGATCATCCCAAGACATTTCAACTCAAGACAAAAACCAAAATGCTAGGAAAGCACTGAAAGATTCTCTCAGGCACTTACCCATCATAGTAAAGGTTTTTCCTGAGCCAGTCTGGCCACTAACAAGAAGAAGAAGAAGAAAAAAAAAAAGAAGTCAGATAAAGTTTTATTCTAGCTCTTAATTTTTTATTAATCTGCATCTTTTAAAGAGAACACACAGTTTAAAATAAAAGCTACAGAAATAAGCTGAGAAACAAGTCAGCTAAAAAGGTATACAAATAAAACATGAAATTCTGTTTGATAAATCACCTTTACTCTCCCTCACCACCCACCATTTTCTTCCTTATTTCTGTTGGAAAGGAAAAATAAGGAACTTGGCATTAAAACAAAAGCTTTCAAATTTATATTAAACTACTTCTTGGGTCAGTTTCTTGAGTTTTGTGTCACTCAGCTGAGCATATAAACCCAAATTGAGAAAAATACTTGTAAGCTGAGTATGTCCTTTTTTAGACCATAGTTATTAACCATGCTAGAGAAACTTCAGAGCAATTTCCTTTCATTTTTCCACACTTTTTATATTGCAACAAAGTAGACTTCCCTTCAGTTTTGCAAATGCTGTGCTAGGCTAAAAACCCAGTAAGGTTCTTATTAGATTGGGCCTTCAACTTAGCATTTTTGACCAAATTGCTATCTCAGTTTTCCAAAGGATACTGAGTTAATATAACGATATTCATGCTACTAGTCATGGATAATTTCCACCTTGAAAATATTATGAAAGTTAAAATTATCATTCACGAGTATTCCCATAGACAGTTAAGCCTTGCTAAAGAGTTAAGCTGGCTAAATACCCAGTTAGAGATTTTCAGTATGCCCATAGTAAAATGGAATGAAAACAAGTAGCTTTTTCTTTACCAATACAATAAAACTTGTAGGTTTTAGTCAAAGAATAATAAAATTGAAGTGAGTTTACAATCAATATTACTGGTCTTAAGTATTAGAAGTATAATACATACAGACTCCTCTGAAAGAGGAATAAGAAGCACTCTTCATCATGCAACAACATTCCCTGGGTTGTGCTACACCAAGAAAGCACATGCAAAGTTTACTGTAACACTAAGCAGGCTCTGGCACTTAAACCCACAACTACTACACATTAACACAGTGCCCTCAAATGGTGCAATGAATTACCATTAAATGACTTACTATGCAAAGATTGTTCCATTGTAGCCATTCATACAAGATTCAACAATATTTTTGGCCACAGTTGAGAACACTGACTCCTGGGGACAAAGGAAAGAGAAAACACTTGGCACCACTCATTCAAGTCTTGCTTCTACCAGCATTTTACAGATCATAGCTTTATAACGTATAAAATAGAATCATAGCACGGTTAACAGTTTTCAAATAGATGTTATACTAATTTTGGTTCAGTGTTTTTGATTATGTGGTTTATACCATCAAAATTAAGTTCATGACACTTGTCAAATCTAGTTAACTTTCAACATTTGCATTGCCAAATGGCATATTCAACAGGTCTGCCCCACTCTTAACCTCATCTGTTTTCACAGATTTCTTAGACCTGCAAGAGCAGCCTAGCTACAGATAACAGCCTAGAGTGGGTAGGTTTTGGGAGTTTTAGGGTGTGGGGAGGGCTGAGTAGGCTCTTAAATTAACGTATTTAAGGGTTATTTTAAACAGAAGTTAAAGGGAACTGAAGTCTTAGAGGAATTAAAATTACATTCAGAATCACAAGCACAATCACAGAAATTAAATTGAAGGATTTTCTTTCCCATATTACCAGTCCCAGATGAATAATGCACCTGCTCAAAAGGAAAATATAAGAAAGAAATGTAGCAAATAGGCTACAAACTCCTAAGTTCCCAATATACAAATCACATCTTCAATATCAGCTACTGACTGCCAGCGATTTCTATGTTTGTCCCAACAGGCAGGTTAATTTTCCACGTTTACAAACAGAATGTACAAATGTAACATTTACAAATAAAAATTGCATTTTCAATGCAAACTTTAAAGAAATTAGCAGTTAAAAAATACATTAAAACTATTAGAGAGCAGAATTTATCCCAACATTTCTGTATTATAACTGCGTATTACCAACCTGACCCATGCAAAAAACAAGACCCAAAGCATCACACATCTTCACAAGGTTTAATGTAGCAGTTGACAGAATGTGAGGAAAATATGCAATACTATTCCAAGACTCTGGAAGTCATTACCTGTGTTGTTTCCATATTTGCAACATAATCAAAAGTGAAGATCTTTGGCTCAGGCTTTGAATGCAGACGGATGGTTTTTGAGGAAAGAACAGATAAACACAAGCCTTGATGTTCATTGCTTATGGTGGTTCCCTCTGAAGGTGGACGTACCCTTACGCAGACTTTGATAGCATCACCTTCAGCACTAAAGGAATATTTATGCATTAGATTACTTAAAAATAGATTTATCAGCTGTTTGAGAAAATTAGATCACAAAAATCAGAGTAAGCATAAAGTCATACAAAGGTCCTTCCTGAAAATATACCACTATTAGCTGTAGTAGTAGTATATTGTACACATCAATTCACTACAAGCCATGGATTTAATAAAGGTAACAATGTGCAGATTTAAAAGCAAAGAACACGGAATTACTGGAATTCATTGCTGTTTCACATAATTTTAGCTCCAAAAGAACAAATTTCACAGTGAACCCAAGATACACAAAACCAGTGTTGTTACAAATGTTTCAGTAGTTTCTAAGACCATGAGCTCCAAGCATCCTTCTCTCTACTGAAAAAGACTTTATAAATGGAGTGGATGATGCTACATTACAGCAAGAAAGATGCTGGCATTTTTCTATGATGCTCACAAGACCAGAAAGAACAACCAATTCTTGATCCATGAGTCCAACGAAGTACAGCAGCACCTATACCTAAAAGCTGCCTAACCTTTTTCATAGGATTTATCAGAAGATGCACCAGTAAATTTAGCTTGAGTAAGTGCATGACTGATACTAAAACTTTGAGGAGTTCAGACATAAATACCAGTGTATACAGATACATTAGAGAACCCTGTTCTTAAATTAAGTGGTAGCAATCTTGAACTTACTTTACTTCATTCTTTCCCAAAAGGCAGTTATAGCACAAAGGTATTATAACTGTTACTGATTTTTAGTTTTGGCAAACAAGAGAAAGGAACAGAACAGTGCAGGAAAACACTGAAAGAAAAGCTTTAAGTTTATTTCACAGTTATAGTAGGTGCTGTTTGCACTTTATATGCAATGTTGTTCCAGAGTTCGAGTATTCCAGGTGAGAGAAATGAGACACAAATACAGAACGCACAACCAGTTTATTAATATAGGAAAATATAGAGACATTAGCAAATACAGTAAAGGATACTTCTGGCGTTTGGTTATCTTACCAACCTCAAGGACCTTGTGAGGCTGATCAGCAAACTAGCTCCGAGAGACCTCATGGCAGTGCGAGGTGGCAGGCTCAATCTTAGTGGGCATCCCCAGGGAGAAAATGTTGACCTGGGTGGTATGAGGCTCTGCCTCCTGGCATTGCATGAGGCTCAGGCTTTTATACTGACAAAAATACACACTCATTCCAATGGAGGTGGCCAGCAATATCTAGAAAGCTCTCCAAGGGTTGAGACTTTTCCAGGGCATTCTAAAGCTAAACTTTCCAGTAGGAACCAAACTGGACTTTCTGGGAAGCAGCCAAAGTGGACAGACAGTACTTTTCTATCTTTGTATGGTGAAACACATGGACCATGATAAATTATCCCTGACACAAATGTGATTATTCATACATGCAAACTGTCCAATATTAGTTTACCTAGATGTGTTCAAAGGTAATGCAGAGTCACGTAAATCTCCTAGGAAATAAAAATGAAACACACACATAATTAAACAAGATAAAATTATTGCTCAAAAAATCATTTAAATTGAACATATTTTAGAAATAGAAAATGAGGGAGATAAACTGAGAGCCTTGCAAATAACTGTTTCATGCATGAATCAGAGCTTCACAACAATAGTAAGTAACTTGACAGAAAGTTCACAGTTTCTTGCAAAGATAGATAAAATTCCAGTCCTGCAGTGTGAGAAGGCTGTTGAATTAACATATATAAGGGTTTGCAAGTGTTTTGGAGAATTAGGAATATGGTACTAATAGAATTGCACATTCCCATTATATTTTAAAACTGCTAACTCAACTGCAGGTAAAACAACACAGCAGGAAATAGTTTTTTTGCTATCACTGCAAAAACTCACCTTCCTAAGCCTGTACAGCTGAACAGCTTTCACTTTTTTTGAAAAGTAGTCATATGCCTTTCATTTTAATGAAGTAATATAGAGCACTCTAATGCATTAAGGTCTCTTGCAGGTATCACAATCATTTTGCACAGCTTCACATCTCAAGAGCCTATTACTACGTAGGTAGATAGCGTTATTTGTCTTCTACTTAAAGGTGACTCTGACATGAAATTATTTCACACATTAGTCAAAATATTAACTAACATAATCAGACGTTAAAAAAAATAAGTGACAATGAAAGATTTACCAAAATATTCCACTAATAAAGACCTTATAAAGTCTCCAAGAGTGCATAGGTTTTGTTGTAAGAGGATTCCTTTACAAGTGGAATTAAGACATGCAAAGATATTAACCTCCTCATTAACATTAATGCTACACAGATAATTTGCCGCTGCTGTGCAGCTACACGAATACTTTGCTGTGTGAGCCTGCCTGCTTTCATAGAACCATAGAATGAACTGGGTTGGAAAAGCACACTAAGCCCAACCATTCCCCAGCACCACCAAGGCCCTTACTAAGTCATCTCACCGAGGGCCTCATCTGCAGAGTGTCGCAAAAGGAAGAGCTTCTTCCTCATGTTTAATTTGAACTTCCCCTGTTTCGCTTCGAACCCATCACCCCTTGTCCTATCACTACAGTCCCTGATGAAGAGTCCCTCTCCAGCATCCTTGTAGCCCCCTTCAGACACTGGAAGCTGCTCTGAGGTCTCCACGCAGCTTCTCTTCTCCAGGCTTAACAGCCCCAATGTTCCCAGCTTGTCTTCATAAGGGAGGTGGCTCCAGCCCCTTACTCACAGCAAATTAAAACTCGGTAACATTACAGAGAACGAACCGATTAATGCGGGACAGCTGGTTTGTGAAGCTTTCCTCTCGGGAGGGCTACTCACGCTTATCAACCATGGGAAGCCCTTAGGGTATCACCTAAGGATGTCAATGCCAAAAGTGCTCCTGGAGTCGACGGGGATCTTTGCTCTCCGTGCCGCTGCTCCAACCCCACCGCGGCCTCTCCAGGATCACAGCCGCGAAGCATCGGCCCCTCCATGGGGCACCGAGCCCAGCCAGATCCCTACCTGACCCTCTTAGCTCTCACACACGGGTGACACCAAAGAATCCCAGAATCGGCCGTGTTGGAAGGAACTTCTAAAGATTATCTCGTCCAATCCCCCCATCTCCTCTCAGTCTGCTCTTCTCCAGACTAACTAGGCCCAGCTCCGGCAATCTCTCCTCAAAAGAGAGATACTCCAAACCCCAATCACCCTTGTGGCCTTCACTGTAGCTTCTCATCTGTCTCGTACTGAGGAGCCCAGCACCCTCACAACGCCGAGCCGCCCTTCACCAGGCCACAGCACCCACCGCGCCGCTCCAGTTCCCACATGCGGGTGAACCATCCCTCACCCCCCTCACGCTGCCCGGTCCAACACACGCGGGTGAAACGTTCCTAACGTTCCTCACCTTCCTCAGGGCTGCTGGGTCCCCACTTACGCTTCCTGGCGGAAGCCATGCTCCTTCCCGCCCGTTCGCCGAGCACCGCTCTATAACCGGCGGAGCATTCAAATTTGACGCCAAGTGACGCAACCGACGTGGCCCCGCCCCCTCCCCGACGCTGACGTAAGCGCGGCCATTTCGCTCTGCCTTCTCTGGCATTGGCTGAACGTGCCTTCGCCTCCCTCACGTGATGACGGCCGCTGGGAAACCTGAGGGGAAGGCGGCTGCGCGGCTCGGTGGCGGCCATGAGCAAACGGAACCAGGTCTCTTATGTGCGGCCGGCCGAGCCCGCCTTCCTCAGCCGCTTCAAGCGGCAGGTTGGGTATCGGGAGGGCCCCACGGTGGAAACCAAGGTAACGGCCTTGGGCAGCGCGGCCCTCCGCTTGTGTCGGGCCCTGCTGCCTTTCTACCCCTGCGAATGGCCCTCCCCGGGGGTGGGAAGCGGCAGCACCCGTTTCATGGGGCCTGCCGTGCCTTGATGTCCCGCCCCAGGCTTAAATGGAAGGCGGAGGGGAAGCAGAACTACAGCTTTGTCCCTGTGGGAGAAGGGGAACAGGGATTACCTGCTGAAAGTGAAGAAAACTGTCTTATTATTTCTTCCCTGCTGGTGATTCAAACCAACAGGAAATTGCAGCGCCCTTCCCCGTTGCTGTTTCTGATGATCGCAGCCGAAGGGATCATGCAGAGCACTTAGTGCACAAGGGGTCTGTGTCAACAAGGAAACAGCAATGATGTCCGAAATCTGTCTGGCCTTACAAAACCCAAACAGAATAACTAGCGGTTGAATAGTACAGTACAGAAGTGTTTTAACGGCCAAAAAATAACGTTGAAAAGGAGTTAACATCATCTTAATACAGGTCAGCAAACTGATGTGATGGCAGGGCACAGGGGTGTTGGAAACAGCTTGTTAAAAGGCAGCCTTTTCTGAGGCTTTTTTTGTTTCCAGTAGTTTTCTTTTCCATGTGTTTCCTACTGAGATTTTGCAAGATGACCTATGAAAGAGGCTTGTTATTATCATCACACATGCAGAGTTACGTATGTGTTATAACTAAGGAACTGTAAATTGAAGCAGTCGTTTAACATCAGCTGGTAGTGCTGCTTGTGCAGTGGTGGTGTTACCTGGTTGTACTTGTGCCGATGTTTACATGATCCCACCCTAACCTACGTAGGTGAAAACCAACCTAGCAAAAAAGAAAGCACCCCACCATTGTTACCACCTTGATTTGGATTTTATTTGCACCACTGGATATACAATTTATTCATCAAGATACTTTTTATTACAAGCAGCCAGTGTATTGACTTGTGCCACTTGCACCGTTTGCCTGTACTGCCTTTTAAGGTTCAGTTCCTGTATAAAGAGGCCATTATCACCTCACCCTCTCCAGGAAAGTAATAGTCACAAGGATTTGTTAAAAAAAGAAATTTGAGATAAAAGTATGCCTTGAGTAGTACAAATAGTCCAAACTGTTTCACTTCCCCAAGAAGATTTTGTTTAGCTCATGGTAAATTCAGTAGATAGTGGTAATGCTATCTATACTTTTCCTTATAAGTTTTAAGTTCCTCTGTTACTTCCAGGTGTTCTGTTGTTGCATGCCAGAAAGTTTATTGTTTATCATTTTATCCAAAATGATTCTTACATCTCAGAGCACAAATTTGAGAGAGTGGAAACGGAAATGGTTTTCCTTGTGTCAGTCCATAATGCTTATAGTGATTTGGTTAGGCAGCTTTAATAACAAAGCCACCATGGACTCCATTTCTCTGTGCTGCTTGGAGTACAGCATAGAAGATTCAAATTTGGACCCACACATTTAAGATTTTCTTAGTGTTGCATGGCAGATAGTGCTTGTACAGTAAAGGAGCAAGGGAATGAATTCTTCACCTCCCAAGTTCCTGCTGTTTTGGTCTCTAATTGAAAGAACCCATACAGTTTCTTTTCTAGGAGATGCCATGTCTCAGTGATAGAATTGGAGTGTCACTTGGACAATGTGTGTTGAGAGAGTTTGGCACTGACAAGTATGCTAAATCTCTTCACTAACCTCACTACAGAAGTGAAACCAAAGACAAGTAGCCCACCCTCGGCTGCTGTGATTGAGTGGGGTGGTCAAAATTGCTTTTATTTCTCTCCTGTCTAGAGAGAGCAGCTTCCACTCGCAGATGAAGATAGTGACAATGTCAGCGACAAGGAAGATGAGCAGCCTCAAGTGGTAACATTGAAGAAAGGGGACTTGACTGCGGAAGAAGCGATGAAAATTAAACAGCAAATCAAAGAGTCCTTAAAGTCACATGAATCAGGTGAGTTGCAAACTACTTATTTGTTGCTTATAGCCAAAGAGATAATCCATAAAAGGGAGCTTGATACTTGCTTACTTTTCTACTCTACCGCAAGGAGTGTAGTACTGAGTCCTTGTGGGATTTTGGCACTTCTGCCTATTACCCCTTTGGGAATAGCTTGTATTTGGAGGAAAAAATCCACAGTAGTAGGTACCAGGAGTGTTGGATCACTATGCTTTGGGTACTGCTGCCCTTTGTTCTACATTATTGTGTTTCTATTCGTTCATCAGTAGTTAATATGAGGTCTTGGCTTCCTTTTCCTATTTTTTGCCTTATGGGAATAAAAGGATAAATGCTTTGTTGTTTCTCTGCTATGGAGAGGACCTGGTGTGAAACCAGAAATGAAAGTGTGGGTGACTGTGCTACAGCTTGCTATAGGCTTTGTTGAGTCTTTGGCCATCTTTGCACTGTCAGTCTGACCTCTAGATTTACATTCTGATTTCTACTCAGAAGCAGGTATTTAGATGGCTGATTGTTTCCACTTTAATAAAGAAAGGTTTGAATAATTCCTTTTTTTGGATAAAGGTCAATTCTAAAAATGGGAACTATAAAGAAAGTTTGGTGCTCATGATTTAATTACGTTTCTCATTGCTTTGATTTTTATCCCAGAGTTGAAAGTGAAATTACTTTAACAGGTACTGGGCCCAAATATATGTGTGTGTGTGTGTGTGTGTGTGTGTGTGTGTTTGTATATATAAATATATATATGCATATATATTATATATATATATATATATAAAATATATGTATAAAACCCCAAATCAGGTCATTTGTGAGACTGTAAAGCTAAAAAGGTAGCAGGAAAGTAAATTTCCCAACTGAGAATCTTCCTTTCCACTGCATGTGAATGCTAAGACAAGTTGATAGATCATAACTGTTCAGCATCAGACTGAAACAGGGGAAGTTCAGGTTGGTTATAAGGAAGAAGGTCTTCTCTGTGAGGGTGCTGAGGTGCTGGCACAGGGTGTCCAGAGAAGCTTTGGCTGCCCCATCCCTGGCAGTGTTCAGGGCCAGGTTGGATGGGTCTTGGAGCAACTCGGTCTGGTGTGAGGTGGCCCTGCCTGTGGCAGGGGGCCTGGAACTGGATGATCTTAATGTCTTTTCCCACACAAACCAGTCTGGGCTTCTATGATTCTGTGTTCATTGGTACCACACAACCCTTAAGACACCAGATTTAATAGTTGTAATGCTTAGAGTAGGCATTGAAGAGTGTTTCAGGCAGTGCTGCGTATGCTACCACTGAAATGGTCTTCTGTCAAAATGCTTATATATTGAGGAAATAATTAGTGCTAAAGGCAAAAGATACTTAGTGTTCATAACTAAATAGCACATCATGTTGTCCATCACATGCATATTGTGAGGAAATTTCTACTGAATAAGGAATTTCACAAAGGTACTTTAGTAAAAGTATCTTGCTCAAAACCTAATGGTTTCTAACATCCTGTCAGATACACATTATACAAGTTTCAAATCACTGCAGCATGAGTGTTTCTGTCCGATTCATGACTTTAGAATTGCACTTTTTCCCCAGGAATACTGCCTTGATGCTGTTACTTGTGCAGTAGCTTTCTCCTTGTCTGATAATCCTTGAAGGAAGATAACAAATCCTTGGTTTTAACTTATTTGCTCTAATACATGTTGAGGAGCAGAATTACTCATTTGAAATAGTTTGGTGATTTTGCAGATACAAACAAACCCTAAAACCTTCATCCTATATGATAGTAAAAGCCAGATTTATGGCCATGTGATCTTTTTAGCTGTTTCAGCAGGACAACAGATATTAAAAAGCTTTGTCTTGTGTATGTGGCATTTTGCTCTTCAAAGATACACCATAATTCTGGAATAAGTGCGTGTGTTGTCATGGGTTGTACAAACAGTGAAGTGGAATTAAGGGATCCTATGAAGCTGTCCTCTCCGTTTTGATAAGTGATGTGACTGGATTGTATGAGACTGCTCAGTCTCTTTGAAGTTATAGCTCTGGTTAGGGAGAACCCACTTCTAATAGGAACTGCAGGAGAACTGGCTTCAAGGGCTGGTTGCCATGTAGCATGTGTGTGCATGAAGGACATTTTGTGGCCAAAAGATCTGTTTTCACAGTTGCTGTATTTTATCAGGGTCTCACTGGTCTTGGTCCTGGGGACCAATTATAGATGGTGGTGAAGGTCTGTATGTGTGTGTGAACATGTGCAGATGTGTTCTGATTTTACTGTCTTTGTTATAGATGGTGAACCAGAACCTGCTGATGGAAAAATTATGTTCAGGAAACCAGCCAAACGTTCGTCAGAGAAAAATTTGGACTTCAATGTAAGTTCAAGAAAGAAGATGAAAGAGGCACAGAAAACTAAGAGAGAAACAACTACTCCTCAGAGTACAGCTAAGCAAATAAACAGCAGTCTTCTCTCGTTTGATGATGAGGAAAATGATGATTAAGAGTTGTATGTTTTTATATGTTACCTACCCTTGGAGGGATCTGAGTAAGACTGAGGGTTTGCCTAGACATAGGAGCATGGTATCCAGGTCTTCTCTTACTTTGTTGTAGTCCAACTCGAGAAACACAGTGTAAAACTAGCAAGAGACAAGTCTTTGCAGTTCAGATGGAACTGTATGAACAGTATGGCATGTCTTTCTTTTAAAAGAGAATTTAACTATGTATGTAAAAGCTATTTGAGGTCACAAATGAGTAGCAAAATAGACCTGTACATATCTGCCTTATATAAATTTTCAATCAGTACATTTTTAAATGTGTAATTCCTCTCTGTTTACCGGCCTTAGTTGACGACTGTGTGGTTTTTACCTGTTTCTGTTACCTTGACATTCAAAAGAGAGACTTCACTGTTGTGGAACAGAGACTGAAGGTTTCTGTCTCAGAGGATTTTTGCACAACTTTTGCATGTGTGGTTTGGCACATTAGCTCTT